CCCCAAAACCCCAAAACCCCAAAACCCCAAAACCCCAAGAGCTCAGATTTTAGCTGAATTACAATTTGAATACTTTTATCAGAGAGATTGGTCTAGTTTTTCAACTCTGCTATTGCTTTTCTGAGTAATTTCTTCCGCTTCGGTCCCAGAATTCCTTGAAGGATGCCCAGACCAATGGCTGTGTTGGTTATCTTGTTCTGTTTTTGAACATTTATAGTCTGAGCTACTTTGTGAAGATTCTCCAGACTCCTCGCACTCTGTATTTTATCATTATTCTCGATAAATCTTTCAAATGTGGATTTTATCTTTCCTATTACATCTGAAGATGACATTCCAATGCTTAGGGAGGACTTGTTGTGGGAGTTCTTAGAGAGCGAAAGGTACTTTCTTTTATCTATAGTCTTTGGAGTCATCTTATATGACTTCTTCATGTAATCATCATCTATATTTAACACAACGGCCTACCATTATCAAGGTCTACTAATAATGTACTTCTCAGACCTCCTTTGAAGAGACTTGATGTTGGAGAGTTCACTATGAATCTTTTCTTCTGAAGGTTATTTCTAAAGCACAGGATGATTTTTTACGAAATTAACCTTGGCTTTACCTTTGATTTTTGCCTGATTTGATATACTTATTTTTGATATTCTGATAATGCAGACTTTCATCAATCTTGGGAGATAGGTTATTAGACTTGTTGAAATGAGAGATCTGGCTTTCTATAGGTTATGCATCACTGTACTAATTCTGTGAGTGTTATTACCATCGTCACTCTCTAGGGTTACAATCTTTCTCTCTTTTCTAGTCCTCCGATTGGTCTGACTCTGGGTATTATCCTTTAGTGAAGCGACTGATTGCAATTATATCAAACTTACTGCTTTCGTTAAGCTCTTCGGGGTTAATCAGGTCACTGTGGTTAAATAGACTGAATTTTGAAGTTGGGTTTTGAAAGCTTTCCACATTATTTCCTTCCTAATTTAGAGTCTTCTTTGGCGAACATGCTTTGGTGAGAGATTGTATTTGCTTTTTGGTAGTTTGAAAATAATGTGCCTAAAGTATTTTTTAAAAGTTACTATTTGATGATTTCTGCTGTATTATTTCTAGCTCAGAGTTTCTGAAGTTGGTTTCAAATCTCTCGCTTTCTATTTGGAAGATTCAGGACAAAAGATACCTATGAAAGCCTTTGAAGGTATATCTTCCAAGAGTTTTGGCTTATTGATTATTTCCTTTTTCAAATTCTTTTTGCTTTGAGACTATATTGATTGCATAAACCTGCTTGTTTACCTTGATCCCTTTTACTTTCATATTGTACTCTCTCATTGCAGAATTGTCAAAGGAAGCTAGATATATTGAGATCAAGAAATTATATTTAAACTAAAGAAGGCATCTTTACCTTTAAATGGCTCTTCAAAACTTGTTGAATTGACCTTCCTTGAGGTGTTTATCTTATTTCACTTTCTTGATTAGGTCTATCTCATATTTTTGAAGCTTTGGGGTATTGCACACTGGGGCATTCTGAGCTTCATTGCTAGTCTGCTTACTGCAGGCTTTCGAGTCAATCTGTCTGCTGAGTTTTGACTGAGATGTAGGACTTTTCATAATTTTATTTCGAAGTATTTCTGGTTAAATTCTTACTGAAATTCTTAGCATGGTGGCTCACTTTCAAATTTATTTGGTAGTTAAATTTTACTCTTGACTGAATAAGGGAGATAAACTCCTTTGAAGAGGCAGTCATCGAAGATCCCTTGAGGTCTTTAATTTTAGTTGTCTTTGCCCTTTGACATTTTGAACTGTTTCTATTATTTTTATGAAGTTTTCCAACTTCATAAAAATCAGAGCACTTATGGAGGAACTCTAGGAAGTTGTCAAAGGTGATCTTAAAGGATTGGATGCTAGCATCAGGCCCATTTACCTTCTTCACGTCACAAATAATAGCTTTGATTTCTTTGTAATTCAAAAACTCAGGGAAAAGGCCTATTTTCTTGCAGATATTTGCTAGCTCAGGGAAGAGGATGTATTTCTGATTGCTCTGAGTGTGGGACTGAAAGAGCTTATTTGAAGGGTATTTTATTCATAGCTATCAAATCTTTTTGTCCTGTCGAAGAAGGAGAATCCATCAGTTCCAAAGAATCAATCATTCTTATAGGATTTAGATGAGTTTTCTTGATATCCTCACTAGACAGCTGGAATTCTGTTGGGGGATACAATGAATATGCATGATTTCGAGGAGAAATCCAAGGTTTTTTGGAACTCTTTAGGTGAAGCTTCATATTTATACAGAAATTTTCTATATTATATAACGACTGGGGTTTTGGGGTTTTGGGGTTTTGGGG